TGAAGTAGAATCAGCTCTAGTTTCACATCCTCAGTGTGTTGAAGCTGCTGTAGTTGGTGTGGAGCATGAGGTATCCTCATTCTTTGTGTACTACATAAGGATTGATTATCACAATGTTTTCAGAAGTCTAATCCTGTTGTTGAAAATGTTATGTCAGGTTAAAGGACAAGGGATATATGCATTTGTTACTTTGGCCGAAGGTGTTCCATATAGTGAGGAACTAAAAAAAAGCCTTATAAAGGTTGTGAGAGAAAAGGTATGATTTTGTCTTGTTAAATATGTTGATGCAGATATGAGCTTTAGAGGCAGATTCAAGATTCAATCTTTTGAGTTGCTCTTAATGGGACTGAACCCTTAGCCTGAGATTTAAGCTCTATGTACTAACACTGTAAATAATCTCGTGAGATAATTACAAGTAAGTTTCTATAATATACCTTTTCATTGGTAACTCAATCAAAATGATAACTGACATGCTATAAAAGGTCAAACTATCGTGTAACAAGACTAACCTCACAAGATTGGATAATGATGTTTGCAATAAGTTTTGCAAATCACTTAAGACTGCATGAAAGAATTAATATAGCTTAAATTTCATATGTCAGATTGGAGCTTTTGCTGCGCCGGACAAGATCCATTGGGCGCCGGGACTTCCAAAGACAAGAAGTGGGAAAATAATGAGAAGAATTTTGAGGAAAATTGCTTCCAAGAGCTTAGATGAGCTTGGGGATACAAGTACATTAGCAGATCCTACTGTGGTTGATCAGCTTATTACACTTGCTGACTGCTGAATGTTAGAAATTGCCTTACATTAATTACCTTATTCTTTCCACTAAAAGCGAATGGTTGTTTTTTGTCCCCCCTATGTTACATCAACATCTATGTATTTTAAGTTGAGTTTCTTTCTAAATCGAAGTCATCCTTTGAAAGTCAATGTTGCTGTACTTCTGTGGACATAAGTGAATCAAGAAAGAGAATTAATATACAAATTGACACTTGATCAACCTTTCATTTCCTGTTTTCCATCCCAGCCTTAAGGACAAGGTCGATTCAAAGGGGTTCGTGTTGTAGAATATTGAAAATAATCCAATGACGTAACAATCAAGCAAGATAATTCAACGGAAAATATGAAACAAGTGGGAAAATATGAAACTCAATTTAGCTATTTATCTTCTTTTTTTTTTTTATCCCAAAAGAGTCTCAAGTTCATACATATATTTTATAGAAAAATAATGGCCGGAAAGCCACTTTGTAAGTTGAAAATGTAAATAAATTGAGTTTTCTACAATTTCAGCACAATAAGACGCTATCCCATAAACCCGAATACAACATAAACCCGAATATAACAACAGTAAAAACGTCCACTCAGTCAAATTAGTGCTACACATAAGCTTCGTTACAGTTAGAAGGGATTAAAACACTGTTTTGATTAGAAAGTATATAGAAGAAAAAAGGATGCAAGTACGCGGTTCTAACTGTTATTCAGTCAAAATTACTACAAAACAGGGAAAAGAAAGATTCGGATTGGCTAATCAGCTCCCAATGTAAGTACGAATTCTATTGGATAAACTTAGGAATTTATGACTATAAATTCGGACCACATTCTGGTAAGTAAAAAAGAAAAAAGATTTTTTCAAAATTTTTTCTTTCCTATACAATATTTGAAACTTATTTTTCAAAATTGTCCAAATTTTATATATTACTTGCCTTAAACAAGTTTTTCTTACAATTTATATATAGTCCATTATTAATGTCTTAAATTAGGGGATTCTTTGCTTGGAAAATGGCGTAACTGAAAGGAACGAAATCCAAATTGTCCATCCATCTAAATAAGACTCTTTCCAGTTGTGTGTTACCTATTTTAAGCCATGATTGGTGCAACTCTTCTCTCTCTTTGCCATAATTACCTATTTTAAGAAAAGAATAATATATGGTACATGAACATACAAATTAAAAATAAATTTCATACAAATTTAATACAAAATTTGATATATCTACAACAACATACATACTAAAAGCAAATTTCATACAACTAATTATACAGTATACAACTTTCATACATCATTCTTACCCACTTAAATACAACAACAACAACATCAGACAACTTAAATACAATTTTCATACAAATTTTATACACTATCTTTTGTATGTATTTTGTATATGATTTGTATATATTTTATATATGATTTGTATATATTTTGTATGTGGTGTGTTCTTCTGCTTCTTCTTCCTATTTCAATCTGAAAATCCAACCAAATCAAATCTAATCTTCACCAAATACCATCAAAATCGAGATATAAATTCCATATAATATTTTCAATCTTTTGCAACAACACCCAATCAAATAAATAAATATATTTTGAAAACCTAAATTCGAATTCATATCTTCGAAACTTTTTAATGGTTGTCAATGGTGGAGAGTCAAACACCTTCAAAATTTGTTGATTGATAATTTCAATTCGAATACCAATTGTGCAACATGAAAAGAATTGCTAAGTTAAAACTCTATATTAAAACAATTGAAATTCATTGATGAATATAATGGGGAAAAAAAAAGAGAGGATAAAAAGCAGAGAAAAACGAAGGAAGCAAAATTGGAGAAAGAACTGAGAACGAAAGAAAGAAAGAGAGAGACGGAGAGAGAGAGAGAGAGAGAGAGAGAGAGAGAGAGAGAAGGGATGGGAAAATAACTGATTCTCTATTCCATTACTAATATAAATGAATACTCATTAATACTAAATTGTATATAATCGGTAAGTTATATATGCCTATATAATTAAGTTAAAACTTGATTAGGGAGGGTAAATAAGTTTCATATGTAATATAGATAGGTAAAAATTCCAAAAGAAAACTATAAAGAACACAGAAGAAAAGTGTCATGATTTTTCACCAATAAAGATATGATTTTTTGAAGTTTATTATTTTGTTATATGAGATACTTTTGTTACTTTCTATGTTCCAACTTGTTTTATCGTCACTTGTTGCATAAATGCTTAGAAGTTAGAAGCATAACTTTAAATCATCGTTAAGGATTACCTAATTTAACTTTGAGAGCAACTATATTCACACAGGAGCAAATTGGAATATTATTGTACATTCGTTCATTTCAAATTTTCAATTTTACAGCTTTTTAGATTTGGCAGAATAGTTAAAGACACCGTCCCACGCTCCCCCGAACTTACCTTTTTTATAACGAGTGTACACTTTAATTATATGTGATTTTAATTAGGGGTGGCAATTTGAGCCCAAACCTATTCAACCCGTCCAACTCGCCCAGAGATTAATGGGTTGAGCTACAAACATTTTAGCTCATGCGTCTATTTGGGTTGAGCCCAAGTTAACCCATTATTTTTTATAGCTCATTCTGACTCATGAAATAGCCCAAATACAACCTATGAATCTAACCCAAAACAAAGGGATCTCAACCCAACTTATCTAGAAATTTACTTAGTTGCTCCATCATTAGTTTTTGTATCTAAGTTTAAAAATGAGAATCAAGGTATTTAAATTTTAGGGTGTGTTTGGCATGACGAAAATATTTTCGTTTTTCTGCACCCTCCACACACCCCAACCCACCCCACCCGCAAAATATTTTTCAACTTACACATTTTAAATATTAATTTGTTATTTAAGAAAATATATTTTGATTCTCAAAATACTAATAGTATTTATTTACCTTTTATACATAAGTGTATAAAAGGTAAAAGGCTTTGTTTATGCAAGATGAGCATGATTCTAAAATATGGGTCAAGTTGAGTGGGTTGGGCTATGACCCATTGTTTAGCTCATCCTGACCCAGTCCATCTTAGCACAATTACACTTTAGGTTGGGTTGGGTAATGACCAATTTATTGACCTAACCCATCTTAACCCACTCAAATTCAGCCCAACCCGTCCATTTGCCACCCCTAATTTTAATTACCCCCTTATGCTTCTTTTTTCGAATGTTATTACCCCCTAACCTGCCACATGACACCGAAAATTATTTCAAATGACCGAGTGCACGTGGAAGTGTATTTTTTTTTTTGCCACATCAATTTAAAATTTCCCTTTCCCCTCCCCTAATGGTAATAAATTAATTTTCGCCCAAAAATTATGACCCCAACGGTAACAACCTCACTTTTCACCCCTATTTATTCTCTTCTTTCCAATTCTTCACCATTTTCTTTATTCTCACTTTCTTCCTTTGTCATTCCAATTCCATAAAAGCTATTTTGGCTCTTATTTGTCCAAATAACAGTCATTTTTTTAATTGGAAGAAACAAGATGAATGTATTTTGTAGATGTGACAAGCCGGGTCCTTTAAAAATTGCATGGAGTACTTGGGCAATCTGATATGCTATTCGAGACTACTTTGTCAATATAAGGAATTTAAATAACAATTTATATAAAAACAGTCACACATATATGGTAATATAATAAAAAAAAGTTGGCATTTAACATCAAATATCAGAGTTGAACTATGTTGTCTATATACAACTAGACATACACATGACTAACAAGTTCATATGATTTTCAAGATGGGAGTTCTACGAGTAATGGGTATAAGCCATTCCGACTCAAAAATGAAATTTTGTTGCAGTCATTTGATTTTATGTGGTTTGGTTGAAAGAAAAAGAAAATTTAAATGAGAAGAGTATCTCTTTTTTCCGTACAGTTTCCTACTACATTCAAATCTCTCTATAACAATATTTTTAGGCTTATATAGTGAATGACTGTTATATACACCTATAACATCATTTGGCATTTAAATATTTTCTGGCTGTTATAGACAAAAATTATCAAAAAATTACTCTTTTTCCCCTTTTTAATGTTACATATAAAATATAAGTAATTATTCAAATCTAAAATATCAAATATATGCATATTTCACAAATAAAATATTAAAGACAGCTAATACATTATTAATAAGTTCATAACTAAATGTATAAAGATTTAAACTCTAAGGCACACATTTTTAAGCTACTAAAAACTAAATTCTTTTAAGATTGATGGAAGAACTCTGAAAAAGATATATGCAAATCTTCGAATATTAAGCATTATACAAGATGAAAATTTGAAAAAGATTGTATGTGCATATCTTCAAAATATTAGACAATATTGTTTACCTGTAAAATGGTATAGTTGATTATAACGTGGTTTATAGACAAACGAATCGATTTGACCCAAAAATAATAAATAAATAAGAACGAAAATAAGATTAGCAAATGAAATTAAAGGAGATAACAAGCATGACTAAGAATTTAGTCTTTCCGATAATAAAAGTAAATACAATGTTCACACTTGTTAGCTGGTCCGAGATATCTTCGATGGATTTGATTTTGTCGGGGGTTCACTTCGATCCCTCTTTAGGAGACCAGAAACCCCAAGAATTTACCGAAGCCAACTCTGAAGGTACACTTCTCCGGATTGAGCTTCATGTACTTTCTTAGAATGTCAAACGTCTCGAGGAGATGTTCCAGGTGATCATCTGCGTTAAGTGACTTAACTAACATGTCGTCAATATAGACTTCCATTGTCTTACCTATCTGTTTTTCGAACATCTTATTAACGAGCCTCTGATAAGTGGATCCGGCATTTTTAAGCCCAAAAGGCATCACATTATAGCAATATGTGCCAAAGTTTGTGATGAAAGAGGGCTTCTCTTTATCTTCCGGGTTCATCCTAATTTGATTATACCCGGAATAAGCATCAAAAAAACTCATTAACTCGTTCCTGGCCGTAGCGTCGATCATTTGATCGATGTTTAGTAATGGGAATAAGTCTTTGGAGCACGCCTTATTTAGATCCTTATAGTCTACACACATTCTAAACTTATTATTCTTTTTGGGGACTACTACTACGTTATCTATCCATTCTAGTTACTTTACCTCTCGAATTGAACCGATATCGAGTAGTCGGGTTACCTCTTCCTTAACAAACCTGTTTCTGACCTTTGATATTAGGCATTTGTTTTGCCTTACTGGTGGGAAGTGTGGATCCAAACTTAGTTTGTGGACCGCCACCTCCAATGGAATACCTGTCATATCCAAGTGTGACCACGCAAATCAGTCAACGTTAGCTTTAAGAAAATTTAAAAGTTTTAACCTGAGTTCGGGACTTAACCCCGTTCCCAAATAGAATTTCATTTCCAAAAATTCTTCGAACAAATCCACTTGTTCGATCTCTTCCGCGATTGATTTTGTCGCATCCGTCTTCTCCGGTACCTGAATAGATCTCGGCACCTGATATAATTCCGATGACTCATCATTTTTACCATCTTCGATTGGGATGAGAGAAGGCATCTGTTCATGTAATTGCTATTTGCTGTATTCTCTGTCTTTTCTACTGGAAATGGTTACATCGTTCATTCCTTTGCCGCTGATTGGTCTTCTCTTATCTGTTTGATCCTTTCTGGTGTTGGAAATTTCAACAATTGGTGATAGGTAGAGGGCATGGCCTTCATCTCGTGTATCCACAGGCCTTATGAGGATCATATTATAGCCCATGTCGCCATCAACTACTTCGAACAAAGTGGTGTTTGTTACCCCTTCAGCGTGCGCGCACAACAAAATTTCTCCTCGAGATATGACACTTGTTAGGTTGAAGCCAACTAGAAGTTTTGTCGCCAGAATGATGTTCCCGATAAACTTCTCTTATTCCAGAACCCTCCATTGTATGATGTTGGACGAACTCCCTGGATAACCCAAAACATGCTTAATTTTGAAATCTAAGAATTAAGCAAAATTACCAGCGCGTCATTGTGCGGCAGAAGAAGTCCATCAGCATCTTCTTTTATGAAGGTGATGCCATATTCCGAGACTTCCCGGATCCTCTTGCCATGAGTCACTGATATCTTCATTTTCTTTGTTGCTAAAACTGTCACCCCATTGACTTCGTCCCCTCCAAAGATCATGTTGATGGTCATTCGAAGTGACCCTGCTGCCAGCTTCGATTGGTCCACATTATCTCGGTTTCTTCCATAGTTGTTCTTGGCGCGGTCGCTTAGAAACTCTCTAAGGTGTCCATTCTTCAATAGAGTTACCACCACTTCACGAAGATGTCAGCAGTTCCTAGTCCTATGGCTGTGAGTCTCATGGAATTCACACCATAGACTAGGATTCCTTTGGCTAGGATCCGACCGGATTGGTTTCAGAAATCGTGCTTCTTTGATATTCCTCATTGCTGACACCAATTCTACCAAGCTGATATTAAAGTTATAATCTGATAACCTAGGATATCCGTCTTTCTATCGCAAGAGAACCTATCCGATGACTAAAATCCTTTACTTCTACCCTTATCGGTCCTCTCATACGGTAGAAAACGACCCCTAGAGGACCTTCAGTCTGCATCAAAGTCATATTTAAACTTATCATGATTTTTATCGCGACCCCATCCCTTGGAGGACACCGAAGATCCAAGTTGATCGTCTTCTATCCTTACCTTAAACTCGTAGTGATTGCGGGCATATGCCCATGTGGTTGCCTGAAACTCGAGCAAGTTCTCCTTCAATTTTCGGGAGGCATCGAAACTCAGTGGATTGAGACCTTTCGTGAATGCCTCCGCTGCCCACTATATGGAACAACTGGTAGCATCATCCTTTTCTTCTGGAACTAGATTACGAATTCCTGCAATAACTCGTATTCTTCTTGAGAAATTCTGAATATGTCCGGCTTTCTGCGTGGACCTTTTTTGCTCCAACGTGGGCTTTAATGAACAAATATGCAAGCATTTCAAAAGAATCGATTGAATGCTTAGGTAAGAGAGAATACCATGTCAGGTCCCCCTTCGTGAGGGTTTTGCCAAACTTCTTCAACAAAACCGACTCGATCTCGTGCTAAGCCAAGTCGTTTCCTTTTATTACTGTGGTGTAGGTCGTGATGTGCTCCTGTGGGTCCGAATTTCCATTATATTTTAGAATATCTGACATCTTAAGCCTCTTCAGCAGCAACTCTTGTGCCACGCTGGATTTAAACTGGAACTGTGTATACTTCCTCGAATCTGGTCCTTTTAACACCGGCGGCGTGCCTGGGATCTGATCCATCCGAACATGAAACTCCTTCGCATTGTGGTCCATTCGTTCATTCATTTCTCTCATGAACCTCATGAGCTCGATTTTAAAAGGATCATTCAAATTGTTGTTCCCCGATCCGCTACCGGTCCCTCCGGCTTTATCGAAACCGACTTCGTCCCTCAGCGTGTTGTTGTCGGTTCTTTGAGCCGTCTGATTTGCGGAAATGCTGGGAGGAACCAGAGCCCTTGCATTAGAGTTATTGGAAGCGCCCGATAATGCATGCTTCAATTCCGTCATCACACGATCCTGCCTCGAAAGATGATCCATGATCGCCTTTTATTGTTCTCTCACGATTTTGACTATTTCGATAACGTGCTTATCATGCGCATCATCAGGAATCGGGCCCCGCACATGCTGAAGGTATTGTCCTTCACGAACCGGGGTTGCTTCATCCCTTTCGTTGCGAGTTTCGCTGGCTGAATCATCACACTGGAACACATCTTCCCGTTCATCACGTGCTCCAACATTATAAACGTTTTTGACATCATTAGCTGCCATATATGACTTTTACAAAATGTCAAAACTTGTTAGTAACAAACGAGTGGATCAAAGCAATTAAGCAGCTGTCTATGCCCCATGGTGTGCGCCAAACTGTTTACCCGTAAAATGGTAAGTTGAATATATAGCGTAGTTTATAGACAAGCGAATTAATTTGATCCAAAAATGATAAAATAAATAAGAACGAAAATAAGATTAACGAATGAAATTAAAGGAGATAACACGCCTGACTAAGAACTTAGCCTTTCCGATGATAAAAGTAAATGCAATGTTCAGGTGTTCAAATTGAGCGTAACAAGACAATAGATGATAACTTTTGTGTACAGAATGTTTCATGTCCCTACAATGGTTGCTAATCCTCCTATTTATAGCCCTATTTAGGGAGACAAGATCCTCAAGTCAAGCTCCTCTTGAATGCGAATAAAATCGTCATAGATGGCTACATAACGGTTGGTCTTGAATGTTGATATTCTCTGTAACGACTGCTCATTAAATGCTACACGATATCAAATCATTGAATCATTTTTGTCAGCTACTCTGCCTTCGGGATCTGTCTAACACCGACCACACACTTGCGCCCGGTGCCAGTCATCTGGTGACTCACGTTCTTTGGTTCCACGTGTCATCTCGTCATTCCGCCAACTATCACTAACCAATTTTACCCCATATAATTATGCATGATATAACCTTTTGTGCAACGGAATGAAAATATACAAGCATATCTTTTAATTAAATAAAATCTTTAATTATGGAAGTATACTAACGTAACATTTTCTTATAAGTGGTGCATTAATGTTTTAAGAAATTTGATCAAATTACAATATTTAGGCTTGTTATTGGTAATCTTAGAAATTCTACATGGCTGTTATAGAGAGCAAATTTTTATAAAGAGTGCACTATTATAAAGATGGATGTTGCTGTTATAGATAAAAAACTCTTATAGAGTGGTAGAATATAACATAAAAAAATAAATTTGAGACAAACATAACTTTTATAATGAATAGTTATTATATAGGCAATATGAATGCTCGTATAACAAGTTAGAAGTTATAGACACGAAGACTTTGAAGTTGTAATAAAGTCTCTCCTTTCGGAACGTTTTTAAATTCTCACGATTTTCTTGCAAACAAATGTTTTGGGAAAAAGAATAATTTTTCGTCATATCAACTTCAAGCAATTATGTCATTTTCATTCATGACAATGAAGGGACAAGAGTGAGTTGCTCTAGTAATAAGCACCCTCAACTTCCAAGTTAAAGTTAGAGGTTGTGAATTCTACCCAGGTAGGGTTAAGGTCTTAGTGGAGCAAGATGGGGAGTTTCTATCGGAAATAACCTTTCTATCGAAAACAGCCTCTCTACTCCAGGGTAGGGGTAAGGTATGCATACACGCTACCCTTCCGGGAAATGGGAAACATCATAAGAATGTAGGTACAATTTTAGCTCCATTTTAGAGTTCTTTTTCCGTAATTAAAACTTTTTTTGGCACCAACTTAACGAACAACTTTAAAAAAATAGCATCTTGATAACCATCTTGTTTATTTTCCAAACCTACCGCCCCTTTGCACGGGTAACCGCAAGCAAACGGTAGGAACAAGTCTGATTTGCCTGAGAAGATCAAAACGCAATACTGATTTGCCTTGTTTTTTAGCAATCCAATAAAAAGGTACTTTTTTTCTCTTCATTCGATTTTATTTACTAAATTTACAAGCATTTACGTGTCTATTGTTGGAGTATTTCAAGAATACCTCTTGATTTTATTAACTGCCTTCTAGGTGTTCGACCTTTTGCATCAATTGGATTTGCTCATGATACATCCTTTTTAACAAAGTTAATCATCCGTTTACCACTTGAGTCTGCAAAGTGTTTTGCACGCTTAGTCCACTTGACGTCTAATGCTTATTATCAACAAGGATAAATGTTAAGTTTTCCTTTGTTTTCATCTAGGTTAGTTTAAATCTTAAAGGAGTGAAAAAAGTTCGATGACAACTTGGCAAATACGCATTTAAGTATTGCTGCATAAGTTAGAAACCTTTTTTTTTTTGTAATCATGATAGGCTACCTCAATGAATAATCTATTATGGGTGTCATCTTATTGCAATATGATCGACTTGCAATATATAGTTACTTGTGGTTGTTGGTTTATTCTTCATTTGCTTTAATCAATATTATGTCATGTCAGGCACTAGAGCAGTACGTAATGTAGGTCTCACAACTACCAGTCTTAACAGAGTTAATTTTTTTATATTCCCTCAAGGTACTTTGCCTGAGAACTCACTTAGGCCAAATTGGTTACACTTGGGACGCCTATTTTAACAAATCTTTGACTTCCGCAATGGATTAAACTTGCCATGCCGTATCATGTTGTCTCCGGCCATTTTCCATTTGTGGCAAAGCATTGATCAGGGGACAGAAGGTGTTTGATCAGGGAACAGTAGGTGCATGAAAAGCGAGTACATCCATTACTCAGTGCTCTATTTAGTATTTGGACTAAGAGCTGCAATACCCTCTTTGTCTTGCGTGAGAATCCCCTCTGATTATTTTGGTTTGGCACAATGCTCAACCGTATTGGTAGACGTGGATGTTTTTCTGCTGAACTGAATACATCAATTGCATTCTTATTCATAGATTCTTCAGCAATCTTGCAATGGCACCGATCAATGACCACCAGTAAAAGAGTCCAAGACAGAAGCAAGAAGAAGCGGGTGCATGACCTTGAAATAGCCACAGAAAAGCACAAGATCCTTTCCAAAGTCCTATTAATATTTGAAGTCCTCAAACAGGAGCCTCAACAAATCATATCAATTAGGGAACTTGATCAGTATAGGAGGCAAATAAACCTTCCAAAGCCCCATAAAATCTCGGCTTTTCTACGGAAGTCCCCCAAGCTTTTTGAACTGTACAAGGATCATAGAGGGATTTTATGGTGTGGTATGACAAAGGAGGCTGAAGGTTTAGTCCGAGAAGAGGAAGCTATTATTGAGCAGCAGAGTGATAAAGCTGCAGAGCTTGTAACTAGGATGCTGATGATGTCCGTGGACAAGCGCCTTGCCTTAGATAAGATTGTTCATTTCAGAAGAGATTTGGGGTTGCCAATGGATTTTAGGAACCATTGGGTGCACAGATTTCCTGATTACTTTAGAGTTGTTCATCCATTTAAACCTTATGATGAAAGTGAGTATTTAGAGCTTGTGAATTGGAGATCGAGTTGGGCTATGACAGAGTTAGAAAGGAAGGCGCTTGGTGGTATGCAGGCCCCAGATGATCACGTAGCTGGTCTTCTTTCCTTGTCTTTCCCAATGAAATTCCCACCTGATTATAAACAAATTTTGTCTAGATATAAAGGGAAGATAGAGAATTTTCAGAAGCGGGAATACTTGTCGCCTTATGCAGATGCCAGGGAACTAAAGGCTGGCACACTGGAGTTCAATAAGAGGGCGGTTGCAGTGATGCATGAGCTGCTGAGCTTCACTATTGAAAAGAGGTTGGTGACAGATTATTTGACACATTTTAGGAGGGAGTTCGTAATGCCTCAGAAGCTGATGAGGCTGTTGCTTAAACATTTTGGAATCTTTTATGTTTCAGAGAGGGGTAAGAGATTTCATGTATTTCTTAATAGTGCTTATGAAGGTTCTGAGTTGATCGAGAAGCACCCTTTGACTGTTTGGAGGGAAAAGGTTCTAAGTTTTGTTGGATACAGAAAGAAGAAGGAAACAATGGATACTCTTAAAGATTTGCAGGAATTCGTGGATGATGATTTGCTTGAGAATGAGTCAGAAGATGAAAGTGTTCAAGTGGAAAATAACGAGCATAATATGGGTAGTTTGGAGGGAGATCTTCTGGAAGATGAATCCGAGATGGAGATTGATGAAGTTTATAGTGCATACAGGGAATGAGAAGTTAGAAGTGCATACTAGCATGAAGAATCTTAAGGTCAGGAATCTTCTTTCATTGCATACAGTAGTCACAATTTGTTTCTAATTGACATTTATTTATCTGCATTACATTGATTGCTTAACTTGTTTAGTGCTTTAGTTTCTTAAGGCAGATATTGCGAGTGGAAAGTGCAATCTCAGATAACCAATTTTTGGAATTTGGGGTGTGAGAACCAGGAACTATCATTTTAATGAAAAGTTAAAACAGAAAGTTGGAGCGACAAGTGTCCCAGTAAATGCATTATTACCTTTCTAAAAAAACAAGCTGTCCAAGGAAATACAGATATTGTTATAAAAGAAAACAATCAATCACATAAGGAGATATAACAATCTCTCTTGAGTTGGAAAACATAAGTTATTTTTATTTGAGATACTGTCGACATTTGGGAGGGTAGGGAATTAGAGCGTATAACGTCAGAGATGGCAGAAACTAGTTTGATTAGTTTAAACTGTGCAGTGTCTTTCTGTTCATCTACTTTATCTTTTTCTTGCAAGATGTCTTCACCAATTTCACATTTCTTCTGTACATTGTGAGTCCTTGGTGCTTTGATAACAGTGAAGCATCTATTTGACATTGGCCAATATCTGTAAGAATCAACTCTTTTATACNGTCTCACACAGGATAAAGTCTTACATCACCCTATTTTACATACTGGTTATTAATATGCGCTAGTGGTTAGGCAATATAAGGTATGCCTAACTCCTGCCAGACCCAAGAATATTTTAAAAGATATGGGCCTCCGCTACTCGATTGACCATGCTAAGCGGTCAGATAATTTTTTATTAGAAATGAATTTGCAAGAAAAATTTATTGTGAGTTGTATATGCTTTTTGAATGATGAAGGTGTCTGTCTTGATTCATTTATCTCTCTAGTGGGTAAGTCTTTTATGAACAATTCATAGTAGTAAAGATTTGCTATGCCCTAGTTTAGTTTAATTCAAAAGTTCGTTTTATTTTGTGGGTAGAATTGTCTGTGCTTGTACTTTTAACAATTTACTTATGAAGATGATTTCATTCTTCTTTTCTTTAGCAAGGTCTGGTTTATTCGTGTAAAATAAAGTAGTAGTGTCAGGTATGATGTAGATTTTAACTCCAAAAAAGAAAGTTTTCTGGCCCCCTATTTGGGTTGGTTACCAAGATGATGACCATATTGGTTTCATATAAATGCTCTGAAGTTAATAGTTGTTCCTCTTGTCGTGCATTGTCCATGGATGGTCCTACAACCGTTTAATCACAGTCTCACTAAAGTTATGGCTGAAGTTGATCTGCTAGCAGATTTCTTTGAACAAGTTTTGGTAGGTGTTCAATCATCTTTGGATCTGGAAAAATTCTTTGACTATTGGAAGCCAATTGAATATCATATGATTTCAAAGTATTGTTATTGAATTATTTGAACTGCTTCATCTAAAAGTTTAAACTATTAAAAGTCTTCAATATGCCCATGTTGTCTCAGTTGATACATTTTCTTTTTGCTGGACCTATAATGTGAAATATTTTGTTGATGCATAATGGTGAGACTCAAGCCCAGGACCTCTAATCGCTCTAGTATCATGTAAAATTGTGTGGATTATCTCATCCTAAGGCTAAGCTATTAAAGAGATCACTTGTATTTATGTTTTTAGGTCTTCAAGATGTTTTCATCAAGAACATGATGAAGGTGAATGATGTGAAGCTATAAAAATGGACTCGTATGGAATTGCTGCTCCAGGAGAACAAGAAAGCTGTTCGATATATCTTTGACAAGATGACAATAGACACATGACCTTAGAACAGTGCTGAATGAAAGATGGGGCATGGTGGAGTCACGGCAGGTGAAGTTTAAATGTTTAAGGTCAAAAAGATTTGTTATTTTGTTTATAGTAGTGAAGATGGTAAATATGATTCCGACTAAAGGAATAATTTAATCACTGTCGGCGATGATATGGTTAAAGATCAAGGAATTTATTGGGCAAAATCTGCAATTTCAGTTGTAGGGGTGCAATCAACCATGCAAATATCCAAATATTTAGTGCAAATCCTATTGCCACTATGTTAAGTTTCTGTCAATATGGACATTGAGAATTGGAACAGAGAGGGGACTATTTGCACAAATAGGGACTCAAGAGCATGTGTATAATGAGACAGTTAATAAAGTTGTAGACATGCGAGCCACTGTTAAGTTCCTAATATAGATAGTCAAGGTGCACATATATGAAAAGGGAGGATAGGAGGTTAGTAACTAACTAAGATATGGTGATTCCTTTTCTTAGAATATTTATCTATTATATGCATGTTTGTAAAAAGAGAGGGCTTTTTTCCTCTATTCTATTCCTACCGATTGTAGGTTGATAAAATATACAAGTATTAAAGAAAGCTACTCAAGTAAGCACATTGAAGCATTTGAAAGGAAATAACTAGGCTCTCATAGATTAATTACAAAAGAATTAGAAAAAAGGATGTTAATATAGGCTATCTTCTGTTTAAACTAAGATGTTGGAAAAACCAATAAGCTTGAGAGGCACTTTCTTGTTTGAATGTAGCACTTGAGCTGCTCCTAGCTGGGCTACCATCAGCACACTCTTCTCCTCTTTCTAACTTGGCTGAAGTAGAAAAATTTATCTCCTTTTCTTTATGCATATGGCTTTTTTTTGATAACCGTGGTGTCCGGGCCAGCTTGCGCGCACCTCGACTAATTCCACGGAATACCTGCCACCTCCCACCAGCAACAGGTACCAGGTAACTCTATCCACCAAGGCTTGGATAGATGGAAAGAAATCACCTAGTATTTGCCTCCGCTGGGATTTGAACCTGAGACCTCATGGTTCTCACCCACTTCATTGACCACTAGGCCACACCCTTGGGTGCTTTATGCATATGGCTTTTTAACCTCTTTTTATTATTGCTAGGTCCAATACTTAGTGTTAGCTCCACATCTGCTTCCTCATCATTATTTCTCATCTTGGCATGGTCATAACTAGCACAAATAGTACTTGTTGAATTTCCTTCTTGATAATCAGAAGGCAATTCAAGATTCAATCCTCTAACTGGCATTAATATTCTTGAGTTCTCACCTGAGCAACTATCACTTCTTTCCCCTTGTTGATCATCTGTTAAACCATAAAGATGAACACTGTTAAACCCTATTTCTCTTGTGGATTGTTGTTGCCAAGTGGACAAGTTTTGATTGATCATTGACTTGTCTAATAATACTCTTGGATCCTCTATCTTTGACATGCCATTCTTCAACTCTAGCATCAGTTTCCTTTGAAGATTGTATAGTCGGTGGAGCTCTTTTACCTGTTATTAGTTTGGAGGTTAAGTTACTTTTACTGATAGTGTAAAAATTTACATAATCGAAGTTACTAAAAAGGCAATAGCATTAGCAGGTAACTTCCTATAAAAAAGCATTAAATAGTGATCTGAAGAAATTACATATAACCTGCTATAAGAAGTAAAATTACATTGATATGATGATAGTGTGCAGATTCTTTATACTGTCAATACATTTCTTTTTTTCCAGGTCAACATCAGATTCAAATACTGGGAAAGAAGACTTATTTTCTTCTTTTTCTGTAGATCCATGCGCAGATAAGTTAATCATAAAAAAAAAGTGAAATTTAATATAGTGTCATTGACGAGGTTGCAGATTGTGAAGCATGTGATTCTGATCTGTGACAAACTAGATGATAATAAAATACTGTAAGCCACTATTTATCTCCTCAATCTTAGGGGTGCAAATGGGCCAATTTAATTAGCACGTGGTCTTAGTAGTGAATGATGATAATAAAAAAAATATGCCAATTTAAATAAAAGCAATTTTTCCATCTATCTTATGTCTAGTGTAACTGATCCGAAATTCCGAATAGCCTACAGGATCATAATCAAGTCAAACCCCAAAACGTCGACTACTCGCCTTTTCTTTTATATTATAAGAAAAAAATTGTAAGAAATTATTTTGGATAAAATAGTTCTCAGAACAGGAAAAGTAATATTGGCAAGAAAAAAAGCTTCTAAAAAAATGCGAAAGTTCAAAATCATAACCTGCAAATAGCAATTAAGATGGAAGAGTACCTGCTGTTTGAAAATGTTTTCATGCATGAGCATTGTCCTTTTGATGGATTCTATACCCTTCAATTCACCAATCCTATCCATTGAATATCCAACTTTGTATAAAGTATCACACAAGTTATACAATTGTTTCACTGCGAAATAGTAGTTTGGAGAATTAGCTATTGCATTTTTGGCATATAAGAGTTTTGTTCCCATTCCTGCAATATTGATGCAAAGATAGGAATGTCAATAGTGATATCCACCTTCTAAAGAGTTAAACAAAAGACTTGGCAATCATTTTGCATGCAGCTGCTCTAGCCTCCTCTAAATTGTTAAAAGAGAGAAAACGGATATTGGGATGCCTATTGAATTCTTCCTTCTAATATTGGATTCTAACAAGGCTAAGAGCAGCGGATTCGGATAGAAGACCAAGAGCGTTTATGTATAATCTCCTGTCGAAAAGCGAAAAAATTCCTGCTTCTATACGAGACCTAACGGAAGACGTTAATGAAAATGTTCAAGTAAAATAGCCATCAAATGCGAATTGATGTTGAGATGAAATTCTTACAGAGATACTTCTATTATCAGATGAGGCAGAATCAGAACCTGGAGACCAACCCCAAGGACTGACTGCGGGAGCAAGGATTAGATTTCCGACTGCATGACTTGATCCCTCTTCTTCCACAATACTAGGCAGATATCTAAAACTATTCGTCTTTTCATTGCAAAATTGAAAAATCATTAAAACAGAAACTATTATCCAGGTAAATGAGTCGCTCTGATAGGGTCATTCTGAAAATAGGGGACTAAAAACACACACAAAAGGAAAAGATAAAAAAATAATATTACATTCCCTTAAACACCTGTGACAATTTCTCATCAAGGTTCAGAGTCCTAATTCTCTCTACTCACACAAAAAAAGTGAGTGTCCAATTTTCGAGATACGCTAGTCTTTTAATAAGTACTTAAGGGGTTGATTATGACTTAATTTTTAAGTATCTGTATGCTTTAACGCATGCAAAATTATAATCTAATCACATGTTAAACGGTAAATGTGATAGTATCGGTGGATGCTTCAAGTTGATTAAGACTTGCTAGTTGGAAAAAAAACAAAAAGGCAACACCCAAACTAGGCAAACAGAGGCAAAAGTAAGATTTAAAGTGGGTTTAATAATAAATGAAATCTTTTATATATATATATATATATATAAAATTTATTTCAAGTCAATAGCAATAGATTCAGTTAAGTCTACAGAACTTTCTAAGAGGCCTTTGATTATGAAGATTGTTTTACTGTTAATACTACGATGTGACATTCTATTTAGGACCAATTATGATATATTGCTTGATCATTATATATACCTATCTAATAAGAAAAACTATCACGTATGTACTAGTTGTATCGCAACAATCCCATTGGGGCGAGTATATATTGTTCCACCATTGTCAATTGTCATTTTTAATTATTGCAAATTATTTACTTCCACTTCGACACTTACAAACAAAGATCCTTATCTTTGAAATTTATACCATAGTAAGTGTTTCAGTCTCTATTATCCAAAGATTAATAACGGTATATGTAAACTATATAAGTCTTTCATAATGGAAAAGTCAAAAAATACTCCAAGGAATCTCATCTAAAGGAACACCAATTTGATGAAATTAATTGAATATAATTTATCATCTTTTTTTCTAGTGCTAAGATGCCTATCGTATAATACTTGTTTTTATGTTTGTCCCTTTTCCCTTAATTGGCATCAATCACGTTATCAACTTAAAATAAGGGACTATTGATATATACTCAAAGTTCCTAGCCACCCCAAAAGTCAAAATAACGGCAATGGATAAAACTTACGTATGACGCAAAAGATACTAAAATATATTAAAAAGTTAAAAACCGTTTGCATAGAAAATGAAATGGAACAAAAAAACACATACACTCTTCCAAAAGCTAAAAGTCTAGTTTTATTTTATTTTTAGCTTTAGGTTAGAAAAAAGTTACAAGCGTTTAATCTTCATACGATTAAAATTTGAATTGCTTGATAATTATAATTATTTCAAATCAAACGCTAAAAAGTTTGTCTTCATTAACCTGTCACCCATATACATATTGAAAAAAACAAACAATGGCTTCAACTAGCTTGTTGCCAGTTATTAAACGGAATTGGACTTTAAAATTCTCAACATAATGAAAATAAATTCACAAGGATTTACCCAACAGAATAAAATAAAAAAAAGAAAGTAGAAACAAATATAGTTCCCCCAAGAGAACGAAAACCAAAATCATAAAACATAGAAATAATTGAGCTTATACCCCAATGAAGATAGAACAAATTACGATTCTCATTGCAAGACTATATATAGAGTTTAATGTCAAAAATAAAAATAGAAACTAATACAGTTGTTTTCATCTCAAGATCAAGATAATGTTCTCATCTACTACATGCATTCTCGAGAAAACCCAAAAAAAAGAAAAAGAAGAGGAAGTTACCTGAAAATTGAAGTAATGGGATCCAAGGAATTCAGTGAAGAGGTTCATTGAGAGACCTTTTTTCTTCTTAATTAATTGTTTCTGTGACAGGAAAAAAGCAAATTAAGGAGAGAAGAGAAGAGAATGAAACAGCTAGTTTAGCAAATCACCACTTCACCATCTTAATTAGAATATCATGAGAGATGACACCTTTTCCTTGGCGAAACAACAAAGCAATCTTCCACTAATTAATTACAAAAATTATTATAATTCATCTTGACAGCCTGTACTGTGTATCTGCATGTGTGTGATTATGTGAGAGAAGAGAGAAGGAAGGAGTACTAGAAAATGTTAATTAGTCTCTTTAATTATATTAATGCACAAAAAATTTGTGGGAAGATCAATAGGATTATGGAAGCAAAAAGGTTGCGCGATTAGAGGCCGAACTAGAATAGGCTCCGTCTATACAGTCAGATATCTCTATAATAACATCTCTATATAACAGTCATTCACTATAAAAGTCAATTTTTTCTTAGAACTGATTTTTAAGTTATATTTTACGTTTCTATAACAACTTTTTACCTATAACAACAACATCCATATTTATAGTAGACCGCTCTTTGTAAAATTAGCCTTCTATAACAGCTATATAGAATCTCTAAGATTACTAATAACAATTCTAAATATATGCACACAATCTTTTTCATTGAATAAAGTTTCTATCTTGCATAAGACACAAGATTTGAAGATTTGCGCATGATATATTTTTCATTAGATACTTTTTTGCTGAAAATTTTGACACGAATCTTCGTCAATTCAAGCATTATATCGGTAGTAAGAGAATAAAATCTACGAAACATCTACAATTACAAAGTTCTTCCATCAATCTTGAAAGAATTTATTTTTCTAGTAGTTTTAAAATGTGTGCCTTAGAGTTTAAATCTCTGTACGTTTAGTTAATGAATTTATTAATAATGAATTAGCTTTATTCAATATATACCTAGTGAAATATGCATATCTTCTGAGAATTTAAATTTGATTTTTTTTTTTATCTTTTATATACAACAACAAACAATAACAACCCAGTATAATCACACTAGTGGGGTCTGAGGAGGGTAGTGTGTACGCAGACCTTACCCCTACCATGGGGTAAAGAGGCTGTTTCCGATAAACCCTCAGCTCTCTCCCTTCAAGAACTCCCCACCTTGCTCTTGAGGTGACTCGAACTCACAACCTCTTGGTTGGAAGTGGAGGGTGCTCACAACTAGAGCAACCCACTCTTGTAAAAAAAAAGAAAAATAATTAATTTTTGGATAAGTTTTATCTATAATCGCTAAAAAGTATTTAAGTATCAAATGCTGTTATAGGTGTATAACAATCATTCGCTATAAAAGCCAAAAAATCTCGCAACAAACGACACTGTTATAACTAGGTTTGACTGTATATGTATGCATATAAATAAAATATACCTATTTTGATCTCATTGATTCAGAATTTTGAACTCACCTTAGTCTGAGATGTCTATAAGTGAGCAATAATATAATCTTTGATCAAAGACGAATTCATAATTTGAAGTTTATGAGTCTGCAGTTTATTATATGTACGTATTTAATGAATTTCTCAACAAATATATAGAGTTTAGATTGTTTACCCTCAAAATCGGATAACAATTAAATTTGTAAGTGATTATAAGGATACGCGTATTAATTTGATACAAAGTGATAAATTAAGTCGATATTGAACAAATAAAGATAAGGATGGATTCAAATCACACGAGTAGGATAATTTCAGCCTTAGCGAAATATTTACCGTCGATCCGGGCTTACAATGGCCAGTAGTGATCAACAAGAAAAGAGCTAATAACAGAGAAAAATAATAATATATTGCCTTAGAATGCGTGTTACAATGTGTTTCATGAATTATCAGACCCCCTTTATATAGTAAGGGAGTCATACTTTAGGTACAACTCTATAAAAGGTAAACAAATCTTTTGATTAACTGATTACCGGTCCCTTATCGATACGTGCCGGGATCCCCGCCGTGATATCCGTCCGGTGACAGATATTTCAGCCTTCCGTTGGCTATGCTTGATTGTCCGATAATGTTCCTCGAAGTCGTTCGAGGTTAGAACCGATCCGAAACCATGACCCCGATATTCTCGAGGGCAGGCGTCATGCCTCCCGGATTCCAACTCGACGAGACTTTCGCCTCGATGTCGGCCCCTTGTCATCATGTCTCGAGCCTGGCTTATCTTGTCGGAGGTAGGGGTGCACCATAAGCTCAATTTTATCCGTATACATAGAATAAATTTAATGAATTCTGCCGAGCTCTGTCCCTGTGTTTAATTCTCATTGAGGTTGAGTTGCGAGAATTCTTCTCTTCAATTATCTTAAAGCAACGAAGGAAATTCAACCTGTGTAAACGCGATTTTTAAAATATGTTCAAAATCAGAGAAACATTTACGAAAAAAATGTAGAAAAACTTATTGGACTATGTCCTATTAAAAAATGTACAGAGTATATATCATAAAAAGAATGGAGCCCATAGAGAATCAGATGAATAAAGAATGGTCTAAAGATTAGAAACAGAGATGTAGACATGATCCAACGTAGGACTGTACACACGATATTCCAGACAGCTCTTTGTTAAGACATGATGGGTACACGTACATTTGTACAAATCTCCTACCCATTTGGGAAAATTAGATTTTTGAGTCATTCAAAATCTTACATGTTAGATGTCCTTGTATTGTACACATTATTTTTACCCTCCGGGTAAGTCAACATTTTTACCCTCTAGTTTTAATATAAAGTTCACTATCTTAATAGAATCGTAGCACTAAAATATAAACTAAAATTGAGTTCTTCTCCTAATCTCCGACCAAACACTCACATGAAAAATCAAAAATTGAAAAGACTTGATACTATTACACATTGTGTGTGCAAGCATGTGAGCGAGTTGACTGTCGCCAATTCTTATAAGCTGAAACATCATTATTCATCGAAAAGATTGGGTTTTTATTAATGTCATCAGATCTCTGCATAATTTGGTCCTCCAGAAAATTTTAGAGAGCACTGATTGGATTTCCTTTTAATTACTACCGCTTCGCTAAATTTTTTACCATGTATGTAATATATCTATGGAAAAAACGGATATATTAAAGTGATGGCACCCGGAATAAATAAAGTTGATGTGGGTGCCAGTGGTTCATACTTCCTTTTGAAGTCTGTCATTGACACAGTCAATACTAGATCGATTTCCCATAGGAGCGCTATCTTTATTTCTCACCTTTTTTCCTGATTTTCCGGCGTTATTTTTGTTTCTCTCCTTTCTTCCGGTTTTTCATTTTTTCTACTAAGTAAGATTTTCCTTTATTTTCAGTTGAGCCCTAGGACCTCACCTCTTTTTCCTTTTTTTTCTTCGTTTTCTTTTCTTCTTTTTTCTTCCTTTTATTTGCTAAGTTTCTCTCTTCTTCTTTATTTTTTAAAGTTTTATATACCAGTCTTTATTTTGTTTCCACTTTGTATTATTATACCTTACTTCATGAACAACTTTTTCCAAGTTAGTTAGCATATAATGTCTAAGTTTTTATGACACAATATTAATTTAAATATTGGAGTATAATTGGAGCCGTCTTTTCTAT